ACAAGTGCTGACTGGCGGAACGGACGGGGGAGGGGGCGGGTACAGCTGGCTCTGCCTCTAGATAGGCAGAGCCAGCTGTCAGTCACGCACCAGACATAATTGTCGGGATCCGCTTCAGCTGCGTCGTCTCAGTATACCGCTAGCAGCTGCTCGCTGTATACTGAGCTTAGGGTAATGGGAGGACGCCCGTTACCCTACGGTAACTCTCCCGTTACCCTAAGGAGAACTATGGGGAAAAGACTTAACCCCATAGTTCTACCTCGTTTCCCTGCAGTACCCTGATAATCTGGAGGTGTGCGGCTACCTTCCTGGCGTTGACTCTCCACTGCTGCTTGTGGGGTTGTCGCATTACAGGCTTCTCTCTCTGGTGGTAGGTATGTGTATTCTGACTCCGATTATTGTGATAGCGAAATATATTCCTTGCTGAGATGCTTACACTGTGGCCGGTTCTGTTGCTAGGGTTGCCACCTTTTGTTTCAGCGAAACCCGAACACTCTAGCGACGCACGGAAATTTCTGTGGGAGAATAAGCAGTGGCTTATTCATATGTAAATACCGCTACCCATTAATATGTAAATATCACAGTCAAGACTATATTCAGTGGGGGGGCCATTAGCCGCTATCTTAATTTTGGCTGCCCCTGTCTGCCTGACATCATTTGTCGGGCAGACATTTTTCAAACCCATCATTTGTCAAACCCAGACTCCTGGACAGGTGGCAACCCTATCTGTTGTGGTGGCTGTACCATCTGCTAGGTGGTCGGGCTGCTAATTTAGACCACGGCTATGGCCCAGTGAGAGGAGCAGCGGCCTGTGGGCAGAGGGCCTCACGGGAAGCGGGGAGACCGTCGGGCTGCGGTGCTTGGCACTGTGCATGCCACGTTCGTATCTGTCATGGGCGGCATGCCGGTGAAGGCACCAAGAGAGTACAGAGACACGGGAAGGGCTCGGATGATGCGTGGGATATCATCTTGTTTCAATCATCCTCAGAGATCTTCCAGTATGCTGGCAGATCACCGTGAGAACCCCCAGAGTGCCTCCCAGTCCGTAGTCGTGTCGGTACGTGGCCTTACAACACAACGCGCACACGCACATTAGCTAATCTAAGCTGCCACCACCAACTTACAGGCCTGTGGGTAACCTTCTCCCGGACACTCCTAGTCCGTACACTCTGCCCTCACTAGCAGCACAGGTCAGCTAAATTGGGCACAATTATCTCTCAAGTCAGAACCTCCACTCTGTCTCCTGCACTACCGCTGGTCACCACTGGAGGGAGACTCACCCAACTCAAGCCGGCTGGACACACTGGCAGATGTAAATCTTGCATGCAATCTGGTGTTCTCTAATGGTTGTGTGTAGGGATCCACCAATACCAAGTACAGTACTCGGAACAAGTACAGATACTTTTCCAGCTCCAAGACCAGACTAGAGAAAAATGTAAAAGTTAGGAGGCCGCTGTCATTTGTAAGGAGCACACGGAGCTCCTAGGATTTGTACATCTGTGTTCTAATGTATGATTTTGTTTTTATAAACATGTATAAAGGGACGCACTGATACCAGTTTTGCGAGTACGAGTACTGGTACTTGTCCAAGTCCTCAGAGATACGAGTACTGATACAGTTTTGTTTATTGTCATGTGACAGTTTTTTTAAAACAATACAGACCAATGATTTCAGGACAGTGGCGGAGCGCCAGAGCCCGGTCCCAGCTGCAACCGCTGCAACCCTGGTAGTTCTCATGAAAATGCCAAGTATCAGCACTGGTACTCGAAAAGTATCTGTGCATCCCTAGTTGTATGGCAGCCCAAGTGGTTCCCTCACACCCCTAAGATTCCCCAAGCTATCCTCTCAGGTAGAATCTTGGTGTGGCCACACACACACACAGTGGCGTAACAATCACCATAGCGGCCCAGGCGGTCGCTATGGGGCCTGGGGCACAGTGGGGCCCGGCCAGATGCTGTGCGGGCCGCCTGGGTCGTTATGGGATCTTCTGCTGCTGGCTTTCACTGGCGTCTGAAGACGAACACGCCGCTGTTCAGATCATCTGTTCGTCTCCACAGTCAATGAGAGCCAGCAGCAGCGCGGGAGCAGGCTGGACCCGGTGTTCTATCAACGTCGCGAGCCTCTGACGTCACCGGCAGTGGAGGAGGCGGGCCCGTGCTCGGCAGCAGGGGAGGAGGCGGCCTCGGTGACGAAGAAGGAGGCAGGCCCGGCGACGGAGGAGGTAAGGAGTGCGACCAGCCCACCAGAGGGTCTATGGTGGGCTCTGCAGGGTCAGCCTCAGGTGGGATAACTAGAAATCACGGGGCCCCATACAAAATTTTGCTATGGGGCCCTGTGATTTCTAGTTACGCCCCTGCACACACACATACACATCAGGCACACACTGATGATACAGATAATCAACTATCCACATACAACAGGCACACAACAGTGTCTTCAGATCCGTGCGTTCTTTTGATGGGCAGTGCATAGAAAAGGGTAGAAATACAAAAAGTTACAAAAACAAAACGTTATAACGATGAGAAGTTACAAAATGACACACACAAGCAAACAGCATTAAAATAAAAAGTGATAGCCTTACAGAAATTATGATTAATCCTGCTTCCGGGGTTGGATGGAAAAACGTGGACACACCCCCACACTTGGACTCTTTTGATGTGACTTTGGCTTTGGTTTCAAATCTCCATTATTATACTATGGAAATCAAGTCGCCACCCACTGAGATCAGCCAATCAGATGGAAGGAGCTGGAGGCTGCATATTATCACCTGGGTGTAAGGTATCATGTCCTATTGACCATCTTTGAACCTTCATAACTGTTTCCAGCTATGAATGATGCATCTGAAAGGGAACGTTCTGGTTTCAGATATTGTTCTGCTATACGCAGACTCCGGCACTCTACGGCTATCAGAACCAGAAATACCATAAATAGACCCAATTATCAGAACTCCTCAATGCCGTATCATAATCACCCCATGTTTGGTATCAGGCAGCTCGTCCTTGTGCCACCACTCTGTCCCTGAAGGTTCTATGATCATATGTGGCACGGGACATCAGTTATGAGATATCATGAGGTGACACTTTTTACATTTTGGTGATAAACCGTCCTGGAGACAAGGTCTGCAAGGTCCAGAAAAGACATTCACTGCTCTGTGGTCGCCTGCTGGGGAAGAACAACAAAATAAACATTCGCTTCTATTGACACGCTACAGCTAAGAAGTTTATGTAAAGTGTTAATGATCGTGCAGACTGTTCAGTAGAAGAACTGAATCAACTTTCAGAATGTTTTACAAGAAGCCAAAAAACTATATATTTGTGGCTGCTCCATGACAGTTTCTACTAGCCGGGTACCCACCCCTCTGCCTGCTGGTGGACCTTTACTGTGCTCTGAGCCTGGGACCCGGTGGGGGGGAGCTATGGCCACCATCTTTGTTTTGGACAGCCGCCCTTCACTTGATCGGTGTCACTTCATGTGGAGGGTCTCAGCAGGGGCAGATGTGGAGGGTCTCAGCGGGGGCAGATGTGGAGGGTCTCAGCGGGGGCAGATGTGCGGGGCGATGTGTATACAGGCGCTGTTATGGTTCCCCAGTAGGCAGGGGTGAGGTCTCCAGCAAGCACTGGACCTTACAGCAGCCAATTGTATTTAGAAATGTAAAGTGTCGGTATCGGGTTTTAGTGACGGGGCATTTTCAGGAGTACTCCCCGCTGGTATCCGTGCATCCCGAGTTCCAATGCATGGGACTCCACTGGAACCTTCGTGGCAAGGAATGGGACCAAGTGAATCCAATGGGAGCTGCGCTACAACGCATGAGACTGAGTTACCTCGCTGGGAGCCTCATGACAACACATAGGACTGAGTGAATCCACTGGGAGCTGAGTGACAACACATGGGACTGAGTGACTTTCCTGGGAGCGGAGTGACAACTCATGGGACTCGGTGACTGTCCTGGGAGCTGAGTGACAACTCATGGGACTGAGTGACTGTGCTGGGAGCTGAGTGACAATACATGGGACTGAGTGACTGTCCTGGGAGATGAGTGACAATACATGGGACAGAATGATTGTCCTGGGAGCTGAGTGACAACTCATGGGACTGAGTGATTGTCCTGGGAGCTGAGTGACAATACATGGGACTGAGTGACTGTCCTGGGAGATGAGTGACAATACATGGGACAGAATGATTGTCCAGGGAGCTGAGTGACAACACATGGGCTATGGGACTGAGTGATTGTCCTGGGAGCTGAGTGACAACACATGGGACAGAGTGATTTTCCTGGGAGCTGAGTGACAACACGTGGGCTATGGGACAGAATGATCCTGGGGGCTGAGTGACGACAACACCGTGTTATTAATCCAGAATCCAAGGTCACAGTGGAATGGGACGAGTTTTATCTGCAGCCCATCAATCATCTTCAATAAAGAGAATACATGACGGAAATCAATCTCACAGTTGTAAACAATAGTCTCCGAAGAGATGCTGTGATGAGACTTCAAATCCCATCATGCATCTGCCTCTGCAAGTCATGCCTGCGACTGTCAGAGTCATGCAATGCCTTATGGGACTTGTAGTTCCTCAGCAGCTGGAGAACGTTTTTACACACTTGTCCTGAAGCAGCAGCAGGGCTAAGAACGCCCCTCCCCCTCATTCCGCCTTCTACACAGCCAGACCCACTTCCTGAATGGCTGAGAGAATTACTTCCTGTTACCATACATCGATGATTGGCCCATCCATGCGGGGGGCGGGTGTTTGATAGTCATGTGACAGGACTGTTTCTGGTGTCCGTTCACGTTCAGTAGGATGAGGATTGTGTTCAGTTCCTGAGCTGTGCTGGTGGCTTGTCAGCTGGAGAGCAACGAGGTGGGTGTCAGGGGCCCCTGGAGATGGGTGCTAGAGGTCTCTGGACATGGGTGTCAGGGGCCCCTGGAGATGGGTGCTAGAGGTCTCTGGACATGGGTGTCAGGGGCCCCTGGAGATGGGTGCTAGAGGACTCTGAACATGGGTGTCAGGGGCCCCTGGAGATGGGTGCTAGACGTCTCTGGACATGAATGTCAGGGGCCCCTGGAGATGGGTGCTAGAGGTCTCTGGACATGGGTGTCAGGGGCCCCTGGAGATGTGTGCTAGAGGTCTCTGGACATGGATGTCAGGGGCCCCTGGAGATGGGTGCTAGAGGTCTGTGGACATGGGTGTCAGGGGCCCCTGGAGATGGGTGCTAGAGGTCTCTGAACATGGATGTCAGGGGTCCCTGGAGGTGGGTGTCAGGGGTCCCTGGAGGTGGGTGCTAGGGGTCTATGGACATGGATGTCATGGGCCCCTGGAGGTGGGTGTTAGGAGTCTATGGAAGATGGGTGTCGGGGGGGCCCCTTGGAATGATTGTTATCCGATTACAAAGCGCACATTCATCATTAGCTCCACCCACCGCTGCGCTCCTTATATTTGCATGTCTCTGACCTGTGGTGTTCTCTCTGTCAGGTGGCGCTGGATTTCCTGGATAGCGGAGCTGCTCCAATGTTATCTGACGAGCTGCAGCCTAAACCGGAGGTGATTGGTAACTCCGCCCACGTGTTCCTGTCACTGACGCCATCTTTACTTCTGCTCCACCCATATCTGCTTTACCTTCTGCTCCGCCCACTTTATTCCCATGAACTGTCTCTGCCGCTGTTCCTCCCCCCTTATCCGCCATCTTCATTGGGCCCCACCAGGTGTCATATTGATTTCATCTTCTTCTTTCTTTTCAGCTGCTGGTGGAGTTTGTACAGAATGCTTCCATTCCTCTGGGCGAAAGTCTGTCCCTCCTGCCCGGGGCCCCAGAATGTGGCCCCCTCCTCCTTCCAGGTAGACTGCACTATGCAGGTAGGAGCAGCTCTGCCCAGGTGCACTTGGTGTATGTGACCCTCAGGGCCCCTGCAGACTTAGGCGCCCACTGGGGCCAGTGAAGGAGAATTCGTCCTTAGACCGCCTTCCAGTAGTCACATGACTCGTTTTATGTCATTCTCATGACTTGTCCCCTTCCCTCGTGTTATGGTTCTTCCCTCTGATCTGCTAAGAAATGTCTGATGTGACCTCTGTAGGGAGCACAAAGGTGGGAGCGCCGATTTCTAGAGTAATAGCCGGGAACTCCCGTCAGTCTCCTCCTATAGTCTATATGCAGTCACTGGCTCAACGTCTTGAGAAGTAGACCATCTCCTGTACCATGTCTGCAGTCTCTGACCATCTCCTGTACCATGTCTGCAGTCTCTGACCATCTCCTGTTAGGGGTCTGCAGTCTCTGACCATCTCCTGTTAGGGGTCTGCAGTCTCTGACCATCTCCTGTTAGGGGTCTGCAGTCTGGTGATGTCGGGGTCCCCTGTATCAAGTAAATTCACCGCTGACCTCAGGTCTTTCTCTACTCTGGTCTGTAGGTTGGGTGTGAGAATTATTGTGGGTATGACGGTCAGGAACCAAGGATGACTGGAGGAGGTCCTCTATAAAGCCTCCAAGATTAGATTCTACAGAGGGACCAGCAGAGCTTCCAGATTGGATTGCATAGTGGGAGCAGGCTGAGGTCGTCTATAAGGCCTCCAGATTATATGATACTAAGGAAAGGTCCTCTATGAGACCCCCCAATTTAGATGATACCTAGGGCCCGACAAAGGTCATCCATTAGACTCCCAGATTAGAAGTTACACCGCACCAGCAGAGGTCATCGATGAGACCCCCAGATTAGAAATCACAGCGACCAGCAGAGGTCATCTATGAGACCCCCAGATTAGAAGTTACAGCGGACCAGCGCAGGTCATCTATGAGACCCCCAGATTAGAAGTTACAGCGGACCAGCGCAGGTCATCTATGAGACCCCCAGATTAGATGTTGCAGCGGACCAGCAGAGGTCATCTATGAGACCCCCAGATTAGAAGTTACAGCGACCAGCAGAGGTCATCTATGAGACCCCCAGATTAGATGTCGCAGCGACCAGCAGAGGTCATCTATGAGACCCCCAGATTAGATGTTGCAGCGGACCAGCAGAGGTCATCTATGAGACCCCAGATTAGATGTTGCAGCGGACCAGCAGAGGTCATCTATGAGACCCCCAGATTAGAAATCACAGCGACCAGCAGAGGTCATCTATGAGACCCCCAGATTAGATGTTGCAGTGGACCAGCAGAGGTCATCTATGAGACCCCAGATTAGATGTTGCAGCGGACCAGCAGAGGTCATCTATGAGACCCCCAGATTAGAAGTTACAGCGACCAGCAGAGGTCATCTATGAGACCCCCAGATTAGATGTCGCAGCGACCAGCAGAGGTCATCTATGAGACCCCCAGATTAGATGTTGCAGCGGACCAGCAGAGGTCATCTGAGACCCCCAGATTAGATGTTTCAGTGGGATCGGCAGAGGTCCTCTGTTAGACTCCCATACCCCTGACCTCAGTGGTGGTGCTGTGTAGATAGTCTGTGGTGGTGCTGCATGGGGCTCCATTGTTGGTAATGATGAATTGTACGCGTTTCTCTTTGCACTGTTGTTTGGGTTGGTGATGATGTTTTGCTCTCTCGGATAGATGCCCCTGTGGTGCAGAGGATGCCATGTAAGGTGCCCATCCCAGCACTTCTCAACAGTCTTCAGGTGGATCTTGACCCAGGTTCAGATACCAGAGATGATAAGAGTGGCGCTCTTTTATCACCGTCGGAGCCGTCATCGTTGCTACAAGATCTACCAGCCAATGACAATTCATCCTTCATCCTTCTTAATCTTGCCAGATCAGGTAACCATTCTACACGTCTCTTCTCTGTCTGCATGTCTGTCTGGTTGTCCATCTTTTCCAACCAGCCCACATCTATGTGATGTACCCAGTAACTGTACTGAATCCAGGGGTTGTCCACATTAACCCCTTCCATATCCCTCCTGTAACTCTGATCACGCAGGTGTCGGAGGCCTCCAGTGGGTTTATTTAAATACAGCTAACCCTCCAGCTTCAGATTCAGAAGGCCAAATGTGTCTCCGGTTCTTGACAAGGCAGGTCAGTAGTATCCGTACTACTGCAGGTCTCTAAGAGGTTCTTGGGGTTAGTGTGATGAGGATTGAACCCGGTGATGTCACCAAGTTGTAGAAGAAACAGAGACTTAAAGTAGGAATGAAGCAGCATTTCCCCAATCATCTTCCAGGGAAGGAACCTGAGAGATGATTGGTTCCTCCTTCTACAGGAAACGCAATCAGAAACAGTTTAAAAACCCCTCCCACCCCCCTCATCCTCCTTTTCATAGGGCCCAGAAGCTTATCTTGCCTTCTTTTGGTGATCAGAACAAGGATCCCAGAGAAGAGGTCTTTCATTCTCTTGATGTTAGACGTTGCCTCCTTTAGATATTTAGAAGTTACCCGACCTTCAATGAAATCAAGTCGTTTCTTTGTACTTTTCTCTGGGGCTAGGAAGGGTTTGCAGGCCTCTTGGGCATCAATAGCTAGATGGATTCAGCAAACCATTTCTTCTGTTTATAAGGAAGAAGGTTTTGGTGTTCCAGCGCCAGTAAAGGCAGAGACGGCTGGGGCTTCAGTGGCACAGATCTGCAGGGCAGCTGTATGGTCAAGGCAGGACACCTTAGTCCAGGGGTCGGCAACCTGCGGCTCCGGAGCCGCATGTGGCTCTTTCATCCCTCTGCTGTGGCTCCCTGTCCAGGGGCGGAACTATCCCTGGGGCCTGAAGCTGTGGGGGGGTCCGGTCCCGGCCACCTTCCCTGGTGGAATATGTGGCAGTGCAGGGTCCCGGGGCCCCGCACTGCCGACGGGCTTCTCAGTAAGGGGGCGGGTCTTGTGACTCGCCTGCTCTCCCGGCCGCGTCCCTAGTAACAGTCGGCGGGACAGGAGAAGTGTGTGTCACATGCCCCGCCCCCTGCAGTGCACACTGTCTGGATGGGATGCTGGCTGTGAGGCTTGGCAGGTGAGTCCGAATGAGGAGCGGGTGGGGAGGGGGGTTGCGTTACTAAGCCCAGAGTCCAGTGCGTTACTAAGCCCAGAGTCCAGTGCGTTACTAAGCCCAGAGTCCAGTGCGTTACTAAGCCCAGAGTCCAGTGCGTTACTAAGCCCAGAGTCCAGTGCGTTACTAAGCCCACATATACCTATATACATGCTATACATGGCATAAAGGTAAAAAACAATATATGCCGTGTTATCTTCATTTTAGATGTCAAAAGGGTTTTGTGGCTCCCGGCATTTTCTTTTCTGTGGAAAACGGGTCCAAATGGCTCTGAGTGTTTTAGGTTGCTGACCCCTGCCTTAGTCAAACATTATAGAGTGGAGGTCCTCTCACAGAAAGACTTTGCTCTTGGCAGAAAAGTTCCACAGACACCCCCTCCCCCGTAGAGAAGGCAGGCTTGTGTTTTTTGGGTGCTTACTTATCCTCTGTTTGCTGTCCTGGAAGATGATTGGAGAAATTCCCAGTTTAGACTTACTGGTAATGGTCGGGTCCATGCATCAATGAGCTACCTCACTATTAGGAGCGAGCGCCTTACGTTTTCTGGTTTCTGTCAGTTGTTCCACCGATACAGTTACCGCTGAAGGATCGAGCGCTGATGCCATCCACAGGGTGGAGTTTTTCACGTGCACTGTCTGTGCTCATTTCTGCCATTCTGCACAGAGGAAGCCCCTTCCCACCATTGCTTCAGCATAGGAGGGCTATGGGGAACTCCAATCCTCAGTCCATTCATACTGCCAGCCTACCGTGACTGGATCACATTTTGGATGCCTGACCTACTTTCAGCAGTTTGGCTTGCGAGTACTTGGAGGGGGGACTATGTTCATGGCTCTTCTTGCATATTGACTCAACAACAAACTGGACATGTTTTATTGTGGACAAGAAATCCACGAGCCTTCATGGTGATCGATGATCTATGCCTTTCCTCCCTTGAAGGATCTAGTGATCCTCATAGCTCCTTGTTGGCCCATAAGAGTGTGGTATGCGAACATCCATCATACTCTGTTGGATATGAACCTTTTTTTTTTTTATTTCTGGACACTTCAAAAAAACATCCTTTTTTAGGGACACCGGTTCCACCTCTGTTTATGACCCATGCTCTTACTACTGTTTTGCTACACAGTCACGGTTAAAGAAAGGGTTATTCTGAGCTGGCCTACAGGGTTTTTTTTTTTTTGTCTGCAACTGTGGGCAGTATAACCCGACAGCACATGACTTACTACGCCTCTCACTGGATCACAAGAAAATGCTTTTACGGTGAGTACAAACATTCCTGTTATATTGCACCTTACCAGTCTCAAGTTGTGTTGACTGCATTTAGTTTTTCTCCTCGTTTTTTTTACCTGGTGATCCTGCCAGCAACACACTTCACGTCCTAGGGGGGACAACGCTCACTCGCTGTACTGAATCTATAGAGGAGCAGTGTTGTCACCCTAGGCCGCTCTCCTGCTTTAGGTCTACAGACACCTCCTCTCCATCTGCATTGGATGGGGATGGGATTTGTAAATGACATAAATTAGCTTAAAGAACAGATAGCATTGTTTAAGACTTCAGTTCATTTCACAACCACACTGGACTTTTGGCAAGATCTATTTTTCTGTATTTGCAGATGTACACTGATGTACCTGAAAAAAACGAAAACTAAAGAAGCCACCACATCTATGGACTGGTAATCTGCAATGTATTCAATGTGTTTGTTTTGGGTTAAGCTATAAAAGTGCCTCCCCCGTTGAGAGGATATCTTCTTTGTTACGTTCACCCATCACTGCTAACTTTTTGATTTTTTTCCCTCTTCCAGGACTCGGGTCCCCGTCAGAACATTTAGTGTTTGTTCACGATGAAGCGGAAGAATCTGGAAATGATTTCCTGTCCAATGATTGCACAGACAGCAGTACACCATGGTTCCTGCGGGTTCAGGAATTGGCTCATGATAGCCTTATCGCTGCCACTCGGGCACAGCTGGCAAAACATGCAAAGAATAGCAATAATGGTAATAACTAGTCCTGGCAGCAGAGGGACTTCTTTGTGTCTTACCATCATGGAATGTCTGATTTATATAAAAGGCCCGGGGTCATCCGTATGATTCATTGGAGTCAAAGCACTAAGTCACATTATGAGGACATGTCTCTAACAACATCAGATCCTCGCTGTGCCCATTCTTCTAACAAATGACGAGAATGCTTCATTACACCATTGCAGTCATCTCGGTGTATGTTCTCCCCAATATCGGTGCCCACGGCACTGTTATCTGTAAAGCATCAGCGTAGCCGCCATTTCCTGGCACCAGCTTGCTTGCAGACCAGTCTGGATGGAACTGCTGAGTAGTCAGCAGCCAGTGGAAGTATAAAGGATCCCTATGGGAAGCAATCTGCTTTTAGAATAGTTGTATGTAATGGTAGTATTTATTATATAAATTCCTATTTTCCACATTGATATGCAGGCCAAGCTATCCAGCAATAATGGAAGGGCTCATTACCAAAGCAATATTTAAAGGAGAACTATGAGGCGAGTGAAAATCACTCGGCCTCCTAGTTGGAGCCGACGTGTGACAATGAAACTGTCACACGTCGGCTCAATAGATCGGGAAGTGAGTGAACACATACTGTTGCTTGCTCTCTTCTCGATCCTGTGCCTGCAGAGAGACGTGACTGTCCGTCACCGCTCACCCACAGGGATTCCCCCCCGCTCCGATCCTCCAGCGCTGACTGGGGGAACAGACAGGGGAGGGGGCGGGTAAAAAAAAAACACGTGCACATGCCAAAAGATTATGACCGTCCATCTAATATTGAGTAGGTCCTCCTTTTGCCTCCCAAACAGCCCTGATCCGTCGAGACATGGACTCCACTAGACCTCTGAAGGTATGCTGTGCTATGTGGCACCAAGCCATCGGTAGCAGATCCTTTAAGTCCTGTAAATTGTAAGTCAACACCTAGAACTTGTTCTCAAAAGATCAGCCGCACAGAATCCAAACAGGTTCGAAAAAACAAGTCAATCCAAGAGAACAATGAACAGCGTGTACATCACCATGAGCATCTTGTTTCACCACCTGGGCTTAATCATAGAGGTTTATGATGATTAAGGTGATGAGAGGCGTTGGCGTGATGTGGGAGATGCTCATGTACACGCTGTTCATTGTTCTCTTGGATTGACTTGTTTTTTCGAAGCCGTTTGGATTATTTCAATAAACTTTTTGGATTGCACTCATTGTGGTTTTGTGCGGCTGATCTTTTGAGGATTCGTTTGAACAAGTGGGAAGCACACTATAGCCTGCACCCAGAATGTGGACTGACTGCAGCGGAAGTTAGAATGGAGCGGTGAGTCTATGGAACTTTCTTGACCTCAAGCTTGTTGCTTTGTTCCTCAAACCCTTCTTGAACCATTTGTCCAGTGTGGCGGGGATCATTATCCAGCTGATAGAGGCCACTGCCATCAGGGAATGCTGTTTCCATGAAGGGGTGTACTTGGTCAGTAAGAATGTTTAGTTAAGTGGTACGTGTCAAAGTAATCCATGAATGGCAGGTTTCCCAGAAGAACATTGCCCAAAGCATCACACTGCCTCCACCTCCTTCCCATACTGAAGCCTGGTGCCATCTCTTCCCCAGGAAAGTGACACACGCAACCGGCTATCCACATAGTATTTGAGGTTGAATAAAGACACAAGTCCATCAAGTCCCCCCTTAGTCTCCTCACTTCCAGAGTGAACAAGTTTAAATTCAGGAACCTTGTCTTATAGCTTAGGTCCTCCAGCCCCACATGATATAAAAAAAAACGTGATTCATCAGACCAGGCCACTTTCTTTCATTGCTTTGCGATCTAGTGCTGATGCTTATGCGCCCATCGTAGGGACTATTGATGGTGAACACAAGTCAGCATGGGCAACCTGACCAGTCTGCAGCTACACAGCCCCTTATGCAACAAACTGTGGTGCATTGTGTGTTCAGACGCCTTTCTATCAGAACTGGCATGGACCGGGTCAGAGCAACTCTAGAACTGCAGACCTGGAACAGTGGGATGTTCCAGGTCTGCAGTGGTCCAAGGAAGGAAATCCAGTTGGGCAGCCAAGGCTCATTAATGCTCGTGGGGAGCGAAGGTTGGCCCATGTAGTCCAGTCCAATAGAAGACTGCATAGCAGTTGTTGGCATATGTGGCTGCGTAACTGCAGACCTGTGAGGGTGCCCACGCTGAACCCTGCCCACTGCTAAAAGCGCCTACAGTGGGCACATGAACATTAGAACTGGGCCACAGAGGAGTGGAAGAAGGTGGCCTGGTATGATATGGATGTTGCTTTGACACGTATCGCCTACCTAAACATCGTTGAAGTGATGACTCGGCCTCCAAATTCTTCAGATCTCAATCCAATGAAGCATTTGTGGGATGTGCTGGAAAAACAAGTCCGATCCATGGAGGCCGATCACCTCACAGCTTACAGGACTTAAAGGATCTGCTACTGATGGCTAGGTGGCACATACCACAGCATACCTTCAGAGGTCTAGTGAAGTCCATACCTCGGTGGGTCAGGAAAAGGGGGACCTACTCAATATTAGGCGGGTAGGCATAATGTGCGTCTGTGTGTGTTAGGGTTGCATGTGATTTTAAATTAGAAGATGGATCTTCTGCAGTGTTGATAGATACCGGGGCTGACCCTAACATTAATTTTCTCTTCCTCCAGTGGAAATTTCACTGAATAACTTCCCTGAAGCTGAACCAAAAGCTTCTGCATCAGAGAAACGTCTGCACTGCTCATACCAGGGCTGTGACCGTGTCTTTGTGTGGCCAACGCACCTGAAATACCACCTGAAAACACACAGGTAACTTTCCTGCAGCAATACAACAACTGGGGACTATATAACCTTTTGTGTCCTCTCGTGATCACCCTAATTTGGTAAACTACAAAGAAATCCCAAAACTGATGCATAGGAGTCGGCGGTCTTCACAACTTGGGCATTGACTAATTGTTATCTGAAAGACTGCAAGCCAGACTTTTATGGTTCTAGTTTAAAAAAAAAAAAGTGAAGTGACCTTATCCTTTCCCCCTCCCAGTTGCAATATTGCCAACGGCCTCTGGTGTTTGTTTACATCAGGGTTGTCCAAACTGCGGCCCTCCAGCTGTGGTGGAACTACGAATCCCATGAGTCATTGCAAGATTTTCACAGCCACAGACATGACTCCCGGAGAGAGATGCTTCATGGGATTTGTGGCTTCACCACAGCTGGAGGGCCGGAGTTTGGCTACCCCTGGTATACATCCTGCTGGCAGATCTTCAGTAGGCTAGCTGGGCCTGCCAGGCGTCTTCCACCTCGCGAAACAGACCCATAGAACCCTATGGAAAACTGAGCCGGTGCATGGGAGAGATGGGCAGAGGGATGTAAAACAAACCCCAAGGGCCACAGGAACAGTTGCATGGTAAGCATGCATCTGGGGAAGAGAAGCTATGTTGGCATGGTTGGGGGGGGGATGTTTGCAAAAAGCATAAGTACACTTTGTTTGACAGTGTGCTTATCCTTTGAAACATCTGTACCTGTCTGTCACGCCCAGGTCTCAGCGATTATAGAATCCGGATCTCAGCTGCGGAGTTTAGGGGGAGTTGGACTCAGGGTGAGGGGTGTGACGGCAATTCAGGCTTGAACCTCTGGCGTCACTCACAATCTAACGGTGAGTTAGAGGTTCGTGCATCATAGACCGTACATAGATCAAAACGTTTAGTAGTGGCTATTACTTCATAGACCACAATGTGGCTAATACACACGATTCACGTAACTTAGGAGAAAATGACTAGGCAGCGTCAGCATCAAAGTAACATAACGTAGTTCGTTGTGCGTCCCGAATCGAGCAACAGGTACTAGGTACAAGCACGGATATAATGCACAGCGTGGCACGGCACAAAGTACTTCAGTAAGGTATAAAGTCAATGAGGATCACAATGCTAGATTAGTACTTCAGTATAACGTATAAAGTCAATGAGGATCACAATGCTAGATTAGTACTTCAGTATAACGTATAAAGTCAATGAGGATCACAATGCTAGATTAGTACTTCAGTATAACGTATAAAGTCAATGAGGATCACAATGCTAGATTAGTACTTCAGTGTAAGGTATATAGTCAATGAGGTTCACTAAGATAAGGACTGCAGTTTTAGGTGCAGAGTACTTGCAGTTTGCAGAGCGGTAGCTGCTGAAGTGAATCCTCCTGGCAGGCTGTGGTGGTGTTTAGAAGTTCTGATGTAGCAGGTGGCTCAGCTGTCTTCGGGTGGAGGGTTACCAGGGCGTTCGATCCGAAATAGTGGAACGCCTTGCTAACCTCGTAGGTGTCTTTAAATAGCCCGCAGGTGCAGGAAATCGAAAGAGAGCCCTAGCGCCGCTTTCCCTGTTCCAGAGTGGAACGCATCGGCCGGCGTCTTAGTGAGGGGGCGTGACGGCGGTGATCCTCTTCCTGGTGCGTTCCACTCTGGACGTCCCCGGAAATCCTTACACTGTCACCATATGTAGACAAATGTTATTGTTCATATCATCGCTAAATATCAGCAGAGATGGGGGCGTGGCCGGGATGTGAGACTGAGCAGACGTGTCTCACTGCAGCTCCCGACATCCGTGCTACATCCTGACCCTTAGCTAGCTGACAAACCGGCCGAAATACTACAGCAGAGATACATTCTGTGATTCACATCAGAGGAGCTCCAAGCTGACAACCCTCACCATCCTGCTTTTGGATGAACTGACCACCCCTTTCACTGCTTCTGTCCTTTTGGTTTTAGGAATGACCGCTCCTTTACATGCCCAGCAGAGGGCTGCGGGAAGAGTTTTTATGTTCTTCAGAGGTTGAAAGTCCACATGCGCACTCATAATGGTGAACGACCATTCCTGTGTCCGGAGACTGGCTGCGGCAAACAGTTCACAACAGCCGGAAACCTGAAGAACCATCTTCGCATTCACACTGGTGAGTGGTGGCAGAAGCCACTGGATCTCGGCTTGTATTTGGCCATTTACTAATGGTTTGTCTTCCTGCAGGAGAAAAGCCTTTTGTGTGTGAGATGGAAGGGTGCAGCCGGTCATTTGCCGAGTATTCCAGCCTGCGCAAACATCAGGTTGTCCATTCCGGTAAAGACTGTCTGTGGCCTTTATGTCTTAGACATAGTGTATTGCTGTCTGCTTGTGAGCGGTAATGTTTAGCCAGTGATAGTTTTATCCTTGGCATCCACTGTATGGAAAGCTCCCAACATTCTGTATAACCATGCAACTGCCCCATATAATGTGATTGTGTGAATTGCATTCGTCACATGGAGCTATAATCCAATATCTTCCATCCAAAGATGTCTTATTTCCCTGCCAACCTTCTCGGATATAAGGGTCCATGCAGTGCAGGCCTCTCCATTCCATAAAACATTACAACAGGTGATGAGGTGGAGTTGGTACATCTCACAGCATGTGAGCCCTTCCTCCAAATATTATTAGAAGAACCCGTTGATCAGCATGGTAGTGGGTCTGATGCAGCATGTTTAAAGCTTTGTGAACAAATAAATCTGCGCTTCTGGAAAAATAAAATTTAGTAATAAATTAAATTAATTAAATTAATAAAATAAGAATAAATGTGAATAAATGTGAATAGTTATACCCCAAGCTGCTCTGAAAAAGGTGGAACCTAGTATGATCAAAAGAAACAAAGCGCTAAAGGTAGCTGTATGAGCAAAGGAATAAGCTATAATTGATTCTGGCGAGGTCAGTATGGAAGCTAATATAAAAGTATAAAACAGGACTAGCTTCATAAACAAGTATAGATATAACCAGTCTAACCAAAATAAAGCTTTGTCTATATACTTTGTACCACCTTTAGTCAACCCTCAACCTTCCCATACTTTATTGTATAACCAGAAGCAGCCAATGTATGTGCACAATGTGATGAGCCTCCTTTCTGATGTTTGCCGGGCAGGTGTGAAGTCTCACCAGTGTCCCATCTGCGGGAAGAGCTTCTCCCAAAGTGGAAGCAGAAATGCTCATGTAAAGAAGCATCACTCTGGAAAGCTGGAAGGTAGGTTCCTTGTCCTGCAACGTTAGATGGTAGGTGCCCTTGTCCTCCTGAGTTATGCCAAGAATGGTGGGTATAAGTTACATAGCTTTGCCTGGTCTCTTATTACAGTGGTACCTCGGTTCACAAACTTAAAGGAGAACTATGGGGTTAGGTCTTTTCCCCATAGTTCTCCTATGTGTTCATCACCCGATGCTGAGCACATGAATGGAAGCAAACGTTTGCCGAACTTCCTGTTTGCGAACCGAGGTACCACTGTACACACATTTTGGATTTGTGAAGGAAACAGGAAAAGTCTGTTTTGGGTTTTCAAGGTTTCCTTTTCTCTTATTTCAGACAACGACAGAATGGAGGAGCATCTCCAGCTGAGCGAAGACACTTTACAGGACTCTCCCCTGCTATCTGTATCATCAGACAGACACTCCTATGAAGAAGACGTCTCCATTCTACTTAACTAAAGACACTGACATCATTCTGTGTGATTGGTTCTACTCTAAGAACAAGAATTGTTTGAGGAACCAAGTCTTGGCCGTCACGGCCGACTCTGGACAAACTGATTAAGCTCTGCAGAGTCTGGGGATGCGAGGGACATTCTCCCCCTGTAAAGGACAATCGATTTTATGTATGGACAGAAGCCAGGCCCTCACGTCTTCCAAAACATAACCGTATATAAAAGCACATTAAAGGTGACCATCTCTACCCCTCCAAGCTACTTATCTGGTCAAATAAACTCTTTCCTGGCAATGCCTTCATCTGTGAAGTGGTGTATATAAATACAATGATCGTTCTCCTCCACTGTGGTCCCAGGAAAGGGCAACAACATTATTCTGGAACTTCATTCTATATGGGTACAAATCATTAACAACGTTCCACAGGCAAACAAAATTGTAGTCCAAACCGGTATATTCCCTCCCATTATAAGCATGCTCCAGTTTTGTAGGAAAGCAATACTGTCAGCATGAATATAAGCACCTAGGGGCGGGATCTGTGTCACTCAATGGGACTACAAGAACAATATTTTACAAGAAGTACAAAAATCCTATTTCTTTCTTGTCCATTGAGGGACACAGGAATTCAGAGACTGCTGGGTTATACTTGACTTGGGGGTTATACCATTAAGTTGGGCAGCATCTGAAGCAAACCTTTGTGCCGGAAATGCGTAGAAAAATTGGTTTGTAACCTAGAAGGATTGTATTTCTAGTGTTAAGAAGGAAATGACCTCTACCTTTCAGTCCTTCAGGTCCCTACTTTCTGAGCCAAAGTGGGTTCACTGCCTTCTGTTCCGGTTCCATTATTGGTATTTATATAGCGCCGACAATTTACGCAGCACTTGATATGCATATCAGTCCCTGCCCTGAAGGAGCTTACAATCTCAGGTCCCTATCTCACATACATACAGGGCCAATTTTAGACAGGAGCCAATTAACCCTCCAGCATGTCTTTGGAGTACCCGAAGGAAACCCACACAAGGGGAGGACATGCAAACCCTATGCAGATAGTGATCTGGCTGGAATTCAAACCAGAGACCCCCGGTGCTGCAAGGCGGAAGTGCTAACCTGTACGCCAATGTGCTGCCCATCAACACGTGTGGGGAATGCAGAAACAGAGGATGAGGATTCCCTGGGTGAGCTTAGGTAGAATTTCCTAGCCATGATATTCCATAGGACAGGGATGCCAGAACCTTCAGATGTAAGCTTTCCTTGAAGCATGTGGATGATCTTTGAAAGGCCATCTATGAGACATTGGACATTCAAGAAGAAAAGGTGTCCTTGTCTCCAGGGCCGGATTTCCCACAAGGCCCGGCCTTGGGGCAGCAGGGGTGTGGAGTTTCTATCTCCCGATGCCCGGGACATGCAGTTCCGGGAGTGTAGTTTTATTTCTACATTTAGCACTGCTTTGGGCAAGCAGAGCTTAATGTACAGCGGGGAAGCCGCCGCTTGTTTTGTACAAGTGATCTCGGTGATGTCGCCAAGATCACTTGTATGCAGCCTGCAGGTCTGCCATTCTCCGTGGGGTTGGCGGCTAGGGGGGCGCATTGAGAAACCTGGCCTTGGGGCAGCAGAGAGAGTAAATCCGGCCCTGCTTGTCTCTTCATAATCAGCTCCTAAAAGAAGAGAAATATTGTGTTTTCCTTTCCATGGTATGCTCACTGATTCCATTTCCAAAGATTGGACAGAACCAGAGAGGAAGCCCTTCTTTTTTTTAAGGGATTAGAATACAAGTTTCCCTTTAGTGAGGATTCTGACTTACCCTGGGATAAGCTGCCTGAATGTAATGCAGCTTTTTGCCAGGTGTCTGATCCTATGCAGAAGAGGATGGGTGTTCTGGTTACGAGGGACCGGGACTACCTCCTTGGCTCATTTCAAACCCGCTTCGGCCCTTGCTTGTGTGGCCCGCCATCTCGAGTATTCACTCATGCAAATGCAGTCCCACTTGGAGCTGGGGGCACCTAAGCAAAACAAAAATCTTGCAATCTTTTTCTATGCTTTTTTAAAGAACTATGGCCCATCTTTTTGGCCATAGTTTTCTTAAGGATCACAGGACGACATATACTTTGTCCTGTAACCCAAAACTCAGCATATAGCGGGCAATATTCCGCTATATGCTGACAGTGCAGAGCCACTCTGCAGCCGGGACGGATCCTGGCAATATGTTCAGGGTCCACTACGCTGGCTGATTGACAGCTGGCTCTGCCTCTCTGCCCCCTCCCCATCCACTCCTCCATTAAGCAGTGGGAGAGGGGTGGAATCCCTGCGGGGAGTGGTGATTGACAGTCGCTTCTCTCTGCAGGGAGAAGATCGGAAAATGAGCGATCAGCGGTATGTGTTCCCTCATTTCTCGATCTATAGAGCCGAAGTGTGACAGCTTCAGTGTCACACATCGTCTCTAATTCTGGGGAAAAGTATATTTCACTTTCCCCATATTTTTCCTTTAAAGCTACTGCTTTTATTGCTGATGCGTCCTCTTAATCAGTTAGCATGTCGGCAAGGACAGCTGCCTTAGTAAATTCTTCTCATAGGGCCGGTTTGCCTCAAGACTTGGGTTCACCTTTGTATGATTACTTGTATGGGATCTGCTGTTCGGTCCAGGTCTGGTGCAGTTGTTGGACCATAAGGCAGATAAGAAAAAAAGCCTTTCTGGTTAAAAGGTTCCTTCTAAGCATTTTTTTCGGAACCGGAATCAGGTTATAAAAGGACCTTTTCCTGCCCACAACAAGATTTCATATGTCCTGGGGGCTACATCTGCACAGGAGTTTGCATAGAGACTGATAGTCTCTTCTCTGAGTCTAAGGTAACCACTGACAGTGGTGTCTATGCTGTAGGGGGGCCTTCTCTGGGTGTGTAGGACCACCTCTAGAGAGATGGGAACAGGTCCTGATGCATATGACAATTTACTGCATGGTTGAAGGAGCTGGTTGTATAATTATACAGATTGTTTACAACTGCCCCGCTCTGTTATCAGAAAATCTCAAATGGTATACAGTAGGGGTCTCTAAACTACATCTTTAGGGGCCACATCCAGCCCACTACAAGCTTTCATAGAGCCCGGCAGCCACATCCAGCCCACTACAAGATGTCACCTAGTCTGGGGGGCCACATTCGGCCCACTATAAGATTTCATATTGCCTGGGGGCCACATCTCTACAGGAGGCTGTACACAGGGACTGACAGTGGTCACCTTAGATCCAGACAACAGGCTGTATAAGGACTTACAGATGTCACCTTAGATCCAGATCCGCCAGTACAGGGTCTGACAGTGGTCAGCTTAGATGCAGAGCAGGCAGTACAAGGTCCGACAATGGTCACCTTGGATCCAGAATAGGCTGTATAAGGACTGACAGTGGTCACCTTAGATCCTGACAACAGGCTGTATAAGGACTGACAGTGATCACTTAGATTCAGACAACAGGCTGTATAAGGACTGACAGTGGTCACCTTAGATCCAGAACAGAATTCATATCAGAACTTGCAGTCTCACCAGTTTACTCCTGGTATGGCTCGGTTTCTTTCTGTGTTACTGGTGTGATGTGAGCAAATTAAAGGGTTTGTGTCTGTAAGTTCTCGGACTGTTTGTCTAGAGAGAGAAAGCCTCTGAAAGTTTTTGTAAAGCGTCTGGAAGTCGGGGATGACCAGATTTGTGTGCGTCTGGAAACTGGCCCTCTGTTGCTGGAAAGCAAGGTGCTGTTTTTTGCCTTTCAGGGAGGTTCTGGAATTGGGGTCTCCGGTGTGATGAGTCAGAGTTACTTGAGCAGAGGAACCGGCTTCTGCAAATAAAACCAGATATATTTACATTCAGAAGTCTGTCATGTCATTCTCACTATAACACCATATCTCCCCAGATCCCATTTACTATCCTCACATTATATGGCCCAATACCCCGGGGGGGAAACAACGGTCCCTCTACTCCCAGGGTCTAATACACCAAACTCTATAGAGCACAATACCCCAGGGTATAATCCACTGTCCCTCTACTCACTGGGTCTAATAAACCAAACTCCATAGAGTCGAATACCCCAGGGTATAATCCTCTGCCCCTCCCCATGTCTAATACACCAAACTCCATAGAACCCAATACCCCAGGCTATAATCACCGGCCCTTCTACTCCCCGAGTCTAATACACTAACCTAGAGAGCTCAGTACCCCAGGGTACATTTCCTTGCTCCTCTACTCCCAGGGTCTAATACACCATCCTCCATAGAGCCCAATATCCCAGGATATAATCCCCTGCCCCTCTACTCCCAGGGTCTAATACACCAAACTCCATAGAGCCCAATATCCCAGGATATAATCCCCTGCCCCTCTACTCCCAGGGTCTAATACACCAAACTCCATAGAGCCCAATATCCCAGGATATAATCCCCTGCCCCTCTACTCCCAGGGTCTAATACACCAAACTCCATAGAGCCCACTATCCCAGGATATAATCCCCTGCCCCTCTACTCCCTGGGTCTAATACACCAAACTCCATAGAGCCCAATATCCCAGGATATAATCCCCTGCCCCTCTAATCCCTGGGTCTAATACACTAACCTGTATAGAACCATATAGTCTTGGCTTATAGCCAACCTTGTGCATGATATGACAAAATTTTGCCCATGCGCTGTTAAATGGTTGAGCTTGTAAACATCTGTTTGCTGGGAGAAGTCACGTGTCAATTCTGAACATTTTGTTTCCTTATTCTGTGAGCTACTGATAAGCTAGTTCATTGGTTACATTGATATTTTTAGCAATAATATCCTCTGGTTATATTTTCCACATTACCTGTGTTATCAAAATTATTGAAATGTCTGATCCATATTCTTTGTTTGTCACCAATTATATTTTTATTATTATTCTGCACTGAATTTTTAAGTAATAAATATATATATTTTGTACACAATTCTATTCATCTTGTCTTCAAGTTAGCGCAAATAAACAAACTTGAGTAATTTTGATTTGTGGAAATAAGTTGGGAATCTCCTTCATTATAGTTTCTTGCTTGTTTTCAGTATAAACA